TTCTAGCTTAAGTAAAAGAACTTTTCTTTACAGCATTTTTTTTTCTCATTTGCTAAGAACTCGTGTGTAACCAAAGATAGTTTAGATAGGTTTTCTTACCTTATCTTTCCGCGAACAGTCTTGTAAAATTTGTTTTGATCTTCTCTATCAATATACATTTTAAATTAGAAAATATTGTGTTTGTATTCATCCCCCCTTTTACAAACTGTTTTACTTATCTTGTAGACCATCAAGGGACCAACAATCTTCCTCACTAAGAACTTACCCAAGAAGTTACTTCTCTCTTTACTCTCTATCTAAAGAGAAATACCCACTTTAACAAGTGAAGAGCGCATTTCTTCTTACCTTATTTCTTGTAGCAAATCTTTTCTTATTGTTATATGTATTTTGTGTGCATCTTAGATTGTTTAGATATGTTTTGTATCCTATCTCTTCCGCAAAAAACCTGTAAAATTTGTAATTGATCTTCTTTTTCAATATATAATTTTTAAAAGTGAAAGTTATTGGGTTTGTATTCATCCCCCCTCCCCTTCTACAAACTGTTACCTCTAAACTTTTGTAGATTCGGCTGGGACCAACAAAATGATTGGATCACACACAGAATTATGCATGGCTATGATGTTGTTTTGTTATCAATCTCATTAATGTTGATTTTGCATTTTTACCCTTCAAATTTTCTTTCAAATTCTTGGTATTGAGTCATTTTAAGTAGTCATTTTAATTGCTTAGGGACAAGCAGCAGTTTAAGTGTGGGGGTGTGATAAGTGTGCAAAAGCATACATTTTAGCATATAATTTTAACTTTGTTTCACTTCATTTTACACCTTTCCCATTCCTATATTGAGTGTTTTAGTCTTATTTTATGGTTTCACATAATTGGAGCTAGGATGCGGGAATGATATTGTTTTATGTATTTGGTGAACGAAATGTTGACATAAGCATTGTTGTAGCAGGTGTATACGTTGTTATAGCACTGAACACTGGATATTGGCACAGTTGGCTCAATCCCGTTGAATATGTTGAAAAGTCAAATTTTGGAAGAGGGCATCTTCCAGTACTGATAGCAGGCAATTTTGATAGAAGTTGTTACCGCAAAATACCTTAACCTTTTGTACTTAAGCATCTTTTGTACTAGGGCATCTATTCTATTACCCATTGGTTAATAACCAATGGTTATTACCCACTAGTACTTTTGATTCCCCTCTTGCTAGTATGTATGTATATATATATATATATATATATATATATATATACATATATATATATAGAGGAGCGTTCAAATAAAAACTTGACCCATTTGTGTAAACCGTGTAAACCAATCTTATTCATTCATTTTTTTGATTAATGGCTAAGATTACATTACTTTATTTTAGGAAATTAAAAATTAAAAAATAATTAATATTTATTTTATTTCATCAATAAGGGTAGAATCGGTAAACAAATTTAATTCATAATATTTTTTATTCAAGGCAACCATATCAGGTAAATTATATTATTAATGAAAATGTTTCATCATCATGAATATATTTCATTAACTATTTTGCAATGAAACCTTTTCACATTGAAATTTTTATATGCAGATTAATTTTATAACGAACAAAATCCATTATGCATTATTTCATTAACTATGAATCTATTTCATTAACTATTTTATTAACTATTTTACATGAATCTATTTCATTACCTATTTTACATGAATCTATTTCATTAACTAATTTATTAACTATTTTATTAACTATTTTACATGAATCAATGCACCCGTTTCATGATACATATATTTAATGAACAAAATCCATTATGCACCCGTTTCATGTTCATTCTACCAACTAAACTGATCAACTTCGATTACAATGCAACATTGATCACCATGAAACTAGTT